GCAATAACTTCAGGACATTTACGGCAATAGGATTTCTTTTTAAATTAATAGATGGTTCTTTTTAGAACAGCTTTAGATTTACAGAAGAATTGTATAGAGTTCCCATATACCGCCCCCTTATTCCAACACATGCATAGATTTTCCTCCTATTAGCATCATGAATTAGTGTGACACACTTGTTAAAATTAATGATTCAATATTGATATATTATTATTAAAGCCCATAGTGTACATTAAGGTTCACCTTTGTGATGTACAGTTCTATGGGTTTTGACAAATACATAATGTCGTGTATCCACCATCACCATATCCTACAGAACAGTTTCACTGCCCTGAAAATTCTCTGTGCTCTGCCTGTTCATCCCTCTGTCCTCCCAACCCCCTGGCAACCACTGATCTTTCTATTGTCTCTGTAGTTTTGCTTATTCCAGAATGTCATATAGCTGGAGTTATATAGTATATATCCTTTTCAGATTGAATTCATTTATGTCTTTATGTTCCTCCATATCTTTTTGTGATTTGATATCTTATTTCTTTTTGATAGCTTATTTCTTACACTGTTGCTAAATAGCATCCCATTGTATGGCAGTATCACAGTTTGTTTATACATTCACCTATTGAGAAACCTTTTGGTTGCCTGCAGTTTGGGGAAATGATGAATAAGGCTGCTGTAAACATTTGTGTGCAGGTGTTTGAGTGAACATAAGTTTTCAGCTCTATTGGGTAAATAACTTAGGAGTACAATTGCTGGATCGAATGGTAACACTATATTTAGCTTTGTAAGAAACTGTCAGATTGGAGCAGGGTGTGGTGGCATGCACCTGTAGTCCCAGCTACTCAGGAGGCTGAGGCAGGAGGGATTTCTTGGGTTTAGGAGTTTGAGACTGGAGTATGCTATAATCACACTTGTGAATAGCCACTGCACACAGGCAAAAAATAAACTGTCAAACTGTCTTCCAAAGTGGCTGTGCCATTTTGAATTTCCACTGGCATTAAATGAGAGTCCCTGTTCCACATCCTTGGCAGCATTTTGTGGTGTTAACGTTTTAGATCTTAGCCATCCTCATAGGTAGGTCATGGTTATTTTGATTTGCAATTTCTAATGACACATGATGTTGAGTGCTTTTTCATATGCTTACCTGTCCTCTGTGTGTCTTCTTTGGCGAAGTGTCTGTTCAGATCTTTCGCTCATTTTTTAATTGAGTTATTCGTTTTCTTATTTTTGAGTTTTAGGAGTTCACTGTATATTTTGCACACAAGTCCTTTATCATATATGTGTTTTAAAGCATTTCTCTTAGTCTGTGACTTATGTATTGTTCACAAAGCAGAATTTTCATATTTTAATAAAGTCCAACTTAACATTTACTTTCCCAGCTCCACATTTAGTGGTATCATGTTGGTAACTTGGAATAGGCCATATTGGGGGCATTTACACTGAAGAAATTGGCAGACTCTACAAACCAGGGATTTCCCTCTTCCTTACAAGAGGTGATTGTTAAACCATTTTATAGCACACGACTGCCTCCTATGAACTTTCTATTGAATCATTCCTGTTGGTCTGACTATTACTTTAGTTATAGATATCTTTTATGTACCAGAGAAGCTTTTTGTCTTGTGTACATGTGTAAGATATTGGTATTTTATTTTGTTTTATTTTGATTTAATTGCTCTTGGTAAGGCATGGTAGCTCATGCCTGTAATTCCAGCACTTTGGGAGGCAGAGGCAGGAGGACTGCTTGAGGCCAGGAGTTCCAGAGCAGCCAGAGCATCCACAGCAACATAGCAAGACCTCATCACTGAAAAAAAAAAGAAAAAAAATTAGTCAGCTGTGGTGGCATGTGCCTGTAGTCCCAGCTACTTGGGAGGCTTGGGTGCAAGGATCTTTTGAGCCCAGTAGTTTGAGACAGTAGTGAGCCATTATCACACCACTGCATTCCAGCCTGAGTGACGGAGTGAGACCTTGTCTTTTTTTTTTTTTTTTTTTTTGAGACAGGGTCACACTCTTTCACCCAGGCTGGAGTGCAGTAGCATGATCATGGCTCACTGCAGCCTCTACCTGTGAGGCTCAAGCAATCCTCCCACCTTAGCCTCCCAAGTAGCTGGGACTACACGTGCACACCACCATGCCCAAGTAATTTTTGAATTTTGAGTAGAGATGGAGTCTCCCTATGTTGCCCAGGCTAATCTCAAAATCCTGGTCTCAAGTGATCCCACCTCAGTCTCCCAAAGTACTGAAGTATTGAGATTACAGATGTGAGCCATCCCATCCAGCAAGACCTTATCTCTTGGAAAAAAAGAATAATCAAAACATGTCTAAAGAAGAGAGAAGAGGGATTTTCCTTAGTATATATGAAGACTTAAAAAAAATTATAGTAATTAGGCCAGGTGTGGTGGCTCATGCCTGTAATTCCAGCACTTTGGGAGGCCGAGGCGGGCAGATTGCCTAAGCTCAGGAGTTCGAGACCAGTCTGGGCAACATGGTGAAACCCCATCTTTACAAAAATACAAAAAAGTAGCTGGGCATTGTGGTGTACACTTGTAGTCCCAGCTACTTGAGAGGCTGATGCAGGAGAATTCCTTGAACTTGGGAAGTGGAGGTTGCAGTGAGCCGAGATTGCACCATTGCACTCCAGCCTGGGCGATAGAGCGAGACTCTGTTTCAAAAACAAAACCAAAAAAACCAGGTGTGGTGGCTCACGCCTGTAATCCCAGCACTTTGGGAGGCCGAGATGGGTGGATCGCTGAGGTAAGGAGTTCATGACCAGCCAGTAAAGATGAAACCTCATCTTTACTAAAAATGCAAAAATTAGCAGGGCGTGGTGGCAGGCGCCTGTAATCCCAGCTACTCCGGAGGCTGAGGAGGAGAATCGCTTGAAACCGGGAGGTGGAGGTTGCAGTGAACCAAGATCGTGCCATTATACTCCAGCCTGGGCGACAAGAGTGAGACTCCATCTAAAAAAAAAAAAAAAAAAAAAAAAAAAAAAAAATAAAATAAAGTCAGAGGGGAAAAATTGGTCTGTTCAACAAAAGGTGTTGGAATCATTGACTTTCCTTATGGGTCAATAAAACGAAGTTTCAGCCTCATACTACACATGAAAATAAACTCCAAATGGATTAAAGGATTAAAGCCCTAAGTGTAAAACCCCCAAATTTAGAACCAATAGAAGAAAGATATTCAGAAAAATATTGTTAACCTCACAATCAGAGAGTCATGCAGGACTTTGCAAACAAGGTACTAAACATCACAGATTGATAACTCGTATGACATGAAAGTTAAAAGTGGTTGTTTTTTTTTTTTGAGATGGAGTCTCACTCTGTTGCCCAAGCTGGAGTGCAATGGCACGATCTCTGCTCACCGTAACCTCCGCTTCCTGGGTTCAAGTAATTCCCCTGCCTCAGCCTCCTAAGTAGCTGGGATTACAGGCATGTGCCACCACACCCGGCTGATTTTATATTTTTAGTAGAGACGGGGTTTCTCCATGTTGGTCAGGCTGGTCTGGAACTTCCAATCTCAGCTGATCCGCCTACCTCAGCCTTCCAAAGCGCTGGGATTATAGGAGTGAGCCACCAAGCCCAGCCAAAAGTTTTTATGTTATAAAAATGCCATAAATAAAAGACAACTGGCATGCTTACAGCATATATTTGCAACATATGTAGCAAACACTTGTCTTGTCCTCCAGTGTCCTGCCTTCTGGAAGCTGCTGATACAGAAGCCTGAGGGAACACACTCCCCCTACCTCCTTCTCCAACAGAGCAGAGCCAGGAAGGACCCGGATGGAAGTTAGGACAAAGAGGCCCAGAATTGGCACAGATACCAACAGACCATTCGTTGAAGAAGAAATCCAAGTGGCCATAAGGTGTATGTAAAAATGCTCAGTTGCACCAACAGCCAGGGGAAGCAAGTAAAAACAATGATACACAATTTTATACTCATCAGGTAGAGAAGAACCGATAGATGTGATATTATCGAGTGCTGGCTATGGTGCCTCTAGGAGTGTAAACTGGCACATCCATTGAAGAGAGTATTTGGGGAATGACTAGTAAAGTTGAAAATGTGCACGCCCCTCATCTGGCCTATATAGTATTCTTACAAAAAACGTTTAACCTGATAATCATGAGGAAGCAATAGGCAAATCCAAATTGGTGAGTATTCTGCAAGACAAATGGTCTGGATTCAAGAGCATCAATGTCATTTTAAAAAACAGACCAGATTAAGTCTGGGCATGGTGGCTCACCCCTATAATCCCAGCACTTTGGAAGACTGAGGCAGATGGATCACTTGAACTCAGGAGTTTGGGACCAGACTGGGCAACATGGTGAAACCCCGTTTCTACAAAAAATACAAAAAATTAGCCAGGCATGGTGGCATGTGCCTGTGGTCCCAGCTACTGGGAGGATCGTTTAAGCCCAGGAAGCCGAGGCTTCAGTGAGCTGAGATTGCACCACTGCACTCCTGCCTGGGTGACAGAGTGAGACCTCAGCTCAAATAAATAAATAAATAAACAAACAAACAAAGAAACCAGATTAAAGATTAAAGGACTCCAAAGAGCCACAATAATTAGATGCAATGCTTGATTTTTGTTTGGATTCTGGATCGGAAAAAAGTCAATGAATTGGATATAAAAACCATTATTGGGACAATAGGGGAAATTTGCATATTAGATAGTTTTACTGTATACTAGAAACAGTATTGTGTTCATGTTCTTGTCCCCGCCAAGACTGATGAGCTCCCAGGGACTCGGATAGTCAAGATAACTTAGCAGGCTGTCAGAGCCTTAAGAAGGTTCTGAGCCCAGGACTGAGGTAGGGGTTACTTCTGGCTGAGGGGATTAGCAAAGGCTTGTGAAGTGGCTAAAGCCGTGACCTGGATATTTCAGGACTCAAATCCACCCTCATTGGAATTCTCTGGGTGACCGCCCAGCCCCTTTGGCAGGACAGCCAGTCACAGGCCCTGACTGTGCAGGACTTCCTGCCTCTGCAAAGGCAGTGGGGGGCTGAGCGGGGTTCTACCCGGCTGGGTCCGGGCAGAAGTTTTTCCTCCCCTTCTCTGAGTTTGTCCTCCTCATCGGTCACTCCCACTCACAGCTTTAAGATTCTGGAGCCCAAGAACTGATTCTCCCTGGATCCATGGTCTGTGGATCCCAATGTTCCGACTGGAGACGGGGAGCCAGCGAGACCTGGGGCTCCAGGGTCTGCCCAAGGAGGTTGCTCGTGGGGGCAGACCTCTAGAGCAGGATTTGAGGCCAGGCCAAAGAGGTTAGTTACTGATGGGGGCTGCACAAATTGGGAGTTGTGGAGGGACGCCAGCTGGGAGGGAGAGACTGGAGAAGGGGGTGTGTGGAGAGCCCAAGAGGAGGCCCGGGGGAGGTGGACAGGCACAGCCTCTGTTGAAGGAGTCTCTCTAGGGCTGCTGGGTCCTTCACCTGTCATTGTCAGGCCTGGAGAGCTGGCTCTTAAGGAAGCCAGGCCACACCTCAAGGGAAGATGGAGGTTACCGGAAGGTCATACCTAAAATTACGGGCAAAACCAGGGAGAGTTATGAATAGGCTGAGTCAGGGCTTGTGTTTACGCTAATCTGAGGCCTTGCTTGGATTTCTTTTTAACCTAAACCACAGGCAAATATTCCCCTTTAGGGAGAGAACTCGCCAATATCTATTTAACATCCGTTAACTGTTGAGAGCATCCACTGTGTGCCAGACACTTCGGTACACACAGAAAGAAACCCAGAGATGGGTGAGATGCCCTTATAGGGAGATCTTCCTCCTCCCTTCCTCAGTCTCTCTCTCTCTCTCTCGCTCCCCTCTCTGAAGGCGGTTTAGCTTTGAGCTAAGTATACGTGGCCTTGGGAGTCAAACGGATTAGGACAACTCCGAGCTTTGTCACTGACCAGCTCAGTACACGTTCGAGCCATTTCTGTTTTTCAAGCCCGGTGTCCTAATCCGCAAAGCGCATATGATAGTAATATCTACCTCATAGGGCCACCTTAGGGATAAAATGAGAGAAGCCCCATAAAGAACTTAGTGTGGTATCTGGGCTCAATAAGGCATCAGCTATTTTTATTAGCCATTCAACAAACATTTTTTTCCTAGGACACAATCTGTGCCATAGAGAGTGCCAGATGCTGCCAGGGAGAGATAAATGAGACACCCTCAAGGATTCCTAGTCTAGTTTGTTCACTCGTTGATTGATTTCATCAATAAATGTGTGTCATGCCCTACGCTGAGCATTGGAGATGTCAAAGTATTAATGAAAGACACTGCCCCTGTCCACAGGTGGCTCACAGCCTGCTGGGAGAGACACTGCAACACAATATGACTGGTGGTGTGAAGAGAGAGAGCACATGGTACTGGGAGAGCTCAGAGCGGGGGTTGATCCAGTTCAGGGCAGGGCGATGGATTCACAAGACATTTGGGCAAAGCAGACCCAGCTTCCATGTTTCCCAGCTCACAGGTGCGCTCCTACACTGGGGCCTTTGTACTTGCTCTTCCCTCTGCCTGGAGCTTTCTTCCCCTAGGATGTCCCCATAACATGCTCCTTCACCTCCTTCATGGCTTTACTCAAGTGTCACCTCCCCAGCAAGACCTTTCTCGGTCACCCTGTTTAAAGTGGCCACTCGAGGCCAGTGCGGTGGCTCATGCCTGTAATCCCAGCACTTTGGGAGGCCAAGGTGGGTGGATCACTTGAGGCCAGGAGTTCGAGACCAACCTGGCCAACATGGTGAAACCCTGTCTCTACTAAAAATGCAAAACTCAGCTGGGCATGATGGTGCACAGCTGTAGTCCCACCTACTCGGGAGGCTGAGACAGGAGAATTGCTTGAACCCGGGAGGCAGAGGTTGTAGTGAGCTGAGATTGCACCACTGCACTCCAGCCTGGGTGACAGAGCAAAACTGTCTAAATAAATAAAGTGACCACTCCCACCATCAACAGTCCCCGTCCCCATCCCCAAACACACACACTCAGCACTCTACCCTGCTCCCTGCTTTATTTTTCTCCATTGCATCGATCACCACCTAACAAACTGTACATTTTACTTATTCGCTTGTCTATTTCTGTCTTCTCCCTCCAGAATGCAAGCTCTGCCATGAGGGCAGGGTTCTCAGCTGTGTTGCTCTTTGCTGTATCCCCAGGGTCTAGAACAGCATCTGGCACATAATAGGTGCTTGTTAAATAGTTATTGAATGATAAGTATGTTAAGTTTACAAAGATGAGTAGGCGTTGAGTAAGAGAAGAAAGGGAGGGAATAACAGATGAAAAGGGAAGAGGGGGAGGGAGAGAGAGAGAGAGGCAGAGAAAGAGAGAGAGAGAGAGAGAGAGAGATTGAAATTAGTGGGTAGAAGGAACTAAAAGCCTTCACATCTGGCTTCTTCCCAGGAATGTCTTAGGAGTGGTATAAGGCAAGGCTGGAGTAGGTGCGGGACCATGTTCTGTGAGGGGAGACAGGTGCCTCTGACTTGGGCGGATGTGCTATGTGCTGTTACAGAGGTTAGGAAGATTGACCCAGGAAAAAAGGAGGAAGCCATGAACTCTGCTGGGGAGGTATCTGGGAAGGTGTCTCAAAAGAGGAGGCACCTCCTCTTAGGCCCAGGGAAAGAGTTCCAATGTTATTCTAGACGTGACGGACATTCTGAAGGCCTGTTCCCACATCCCCTGTCTTAAGAGACAGAAACTAGGTTAGAAACTCTTTGGTGCTTGCACTGGTGGATTTCACTTTGCATTTGGTCCTCGTAGTGCCTAACGGGACCTCTGCCCACAAAATTGCTCAAGAAACATTTTCTGGGTTGGATTGGGATTGAGACAGGTGGAGTGGCCTTGAATTGCAGATGATTCAGGCTCGTGAGCCTGGAACCTTGGGCACCATCTGTGATCTTGCCAGGCAGAGTGACGGCTTTTCCTAGGGTTTCTCCCTCCTCAGAAAAAGAAGGGACATTACCATGTGGAAAAATAAGTAGGCTTTAACTAGTTAGAAAAAGAGATTGGAGAGCATTTTAGGTGGAGGGAAAACAACAGAAATGAAGACAGAAAGGAAGGTTAGTTCATGGTAGATGTCTTAAGAGTGAACAGTTTAATGGATTACATTTTTCAAAGATAAAACATGTATTTGCTATGAAGTTGGTGTGTGGATTGCCTTCTTAGCCAAAGTTCTGGTGAAAGTTGAAATTGAGCCTGTTATTAACCAACAGCTGTAACATATGTATAAGCTGCATGTGCATCCTAGGCTGACACCCAGATAGAATTAGCTGTGTGTATCTTTACAGGAAGCTGCCAATTTACAACCTGGCTGAAACCCACATGGGGCTGCTTCTACTTCCAGATTTAATTGGTTCATCAATCCCATCATTCTTTTATTCCACAAATAATTATCAGCCACCAGATATACATTAGGGGTTGGGTGTGGTGGCTCACGCCTGTAATCCCAGCATTTTGGGAGGCTGAGGTGGGCGGATCACTTGAGGTCGGGAGTTCGAGACTAGCCTGGCCAACATGGTGAACCCCTGTCTCTATGAAAAATACAAATATTAGCCCAGTGTGGTAATCCTAGCTACTCAGGAGGCTGAGGCAGCAGAATCACTTGAACCTGGGAGGCGGAGGTTGCAGTGAGCCGAGATCACACCACTGCACTCCCTGGGTGACAGAGGGAGACTCCATCTAAAAAATATATATATAAATATATATATATTTATATATAAATATATATTAATAAATAAATTAATATATAAATTAATATATAAATATATATATAAATATTTATATAAAATAAAAATTTATATATATAAATATAAATATTATATATACACATATACACACACACACACATATATAATATATATATTAGGCCCTCTGCTACCTGCTGATAATATCACAAAGAACAAGATGAACATGTTTCCTGCCCTCAGATACCTATATTCTAAGGGAAGGCATAAGGTACATGAGCCATAAACAAGTAAGTTAAAGAGAGTTAAAGATGACGGTCGGTGCTATGAAGGGGAAAAACAGGGTGACCTTGGGTAGGTAGTCAGGGGAGGCCTCCTGGAGAAGGTGGCATTTAAGGCGAGACCTGGAGGATAAAGAATCCAGGACAAAGTATTCTAGGCAGGGGGAGCAGGAAATGCAAAAGCTGTTGCTGGAAAAGCTCAGAGAGTTCAAGAATAAGTCAATTCCAGAGCACAAAATGTCAGACCCCGTGGGCATCCTGGAGCTCATCTGCTTCTCTCATACTGGTCATTGCTCTCGCAACATATCTGCACATGACTCCGACCTGCATAAAATGTTGCGGGGAGGGGGCCCTACAGGGCAGGGAGCACGAAATAGTTGACAGCTGTCTCCATGTTATGGAGCAACTGAAGGGCTCATGAGTTTTCTTTGTTTTTGAACCTTGACAAAATGTAATTTTAAAAACATTTTTTACAGGATGAAACCGAGGCTTCGTAACTGACAAAGCTGACTTCATGAGCTTTGACAGATCTCGTTTGCATTTTGGGTATTTCCAACACTTAAAGATTAAGTTCCTTTTCCTGAGAAGTCGAGCGGGGGCATAGCCCACACACTCAGTGCCCACCTCCCATGCGACATTTCTTTTCCTAAAAAGTGGCAAATAAAAAGTGCCTTCCGGGGAGAGGAAACTCACCACTCCCAAGACAGCTCATTCAATTCCCAGGACACATGAGCTGTTAGAAAAACGTTCTTGCATCGAGCCAAAATCTGACTGCTTAGTGCGTCCGTGCCTGGTGGGTGTTTGTTCCGCAATCTGGAGCCGCATGGGACAGTTCTGATTCCTCCTACTCCCCACAGCCCTTCAGAGATTTGGAGACAGACTGGGTACCCCCAGCCACCTTCCAAACCCAAGTCAGCCCCAATTCCCTCTCTTCTGTCTCCTGTGATCCAGACACCTCCTAAGCCTGCTCACATGCAGGCCCAGGGCCAGGCACATCCCTCTGGGTGTGGGCTGCTAGGAGCCCTTGTTCTGGGCACCACACCATCACCAAAGACGACCACTGCTTCTGTGACGTGACTAGTACTGGGTTTGGGGGTCACGCATGTGATTGCTGAACTGTGTTACCCACCCTCTCCTTGTGCATTTCAGCTTTGGGGGTCTTTGGACACTCTCCTCTTACTGAACTCAGGTTATCTTGCTCTTGATCAAGATCAGGACAAGATCAAGATCCAACCTCCTTAGCCTAACACCCAAGGGCCTTTGTAACCTACCCAGCTCCATCTCTTTGGCCAGTCCTTCCCACCATTCCTGAATTCCTACTA